TATTAATCATGTTGTGACTTATGGCATGTTATTTATACATGGTAGAATGATCCCCTTAGTAGTTTTTGCGAATGACTGTACTTGATGTCAAGAGGATAATCATCTGATGAAGTTTCACTATTCTGTTTTTTGACAGTCATCAAGTAGTTTTCTTTTCTTCTTCATGAATTTGTACTGCAATATACTCCTGCTGTTTTCAATAAAGTATGTACGCAAGTGGCTTTTGTGCGTTGTTGTGCAGTTGCTATAGTAGTTGAAGATTCGATCAGTATGCGTTGACTTCCTGTACATTCGAATTTCCGATTTTCCAAGGTTAGTTTTATCTAATAAAACACCTAGGAATAGCAGTCCGCTCGTTGACTCCTTTTATATTGTGAATTTGATGTCGTTGAAAACGTTATTGGACAAACTTTTATTGTTTTTAAATTCATCCTTTTTGATGATAACAAAAGTATTTATCCAGCAGATCCAAATTCTTGGTCTCTTTGCGCGTAAAATGATGGCTTCCAGTCTCTTCGATACCGTTTTTGCAGTCAATTCAGATATCGAAGGTCTAAACGCAGTTCTTTTCATTTGTTCACATGTCTTCCCATTAAACTGGAACAATGTTGCCATACAAGGATCAACATGTTTCATCAAACTTCAACACTAAGATTTTGGGTGTTCCAAAAGTTTTGTGCTATCAGTGAGAAGGAGAGACATAATCTCCTCAGTCATTTGTGGCCCAACTGATGTGCATAATGCTATGACATCATAGGACAATATCTATACGTCGTTTTCTGTGTCAAGTCCTCTGAAACTCTTAAAAACTGTCGGCAGTTTTATAGAGTGTCCGCACAACTTTACAAGGTACCTCAATTTCCTGGAAAACTCTGTAGATAAATTGTAGATTGGGGTCCCAAAAAGTGAGACTACTAGTGGTGGAGAAATCTCTAGTTTGTAAAACTGATGAAGGACAGGTTCGTTCGATTTCATTCGCCATCTGACTTGTTTGGTGACTTCACCTGTTTTGATAACCCTGTTCAAGGTCTTGGTGATCTACTGATCAAACATTTTGATAGAGTTATTCTTAAGTGGTAGATACACGTTCTTGTCTTGAGTAGATCCTCTATATTCTTGATGTGGTCTTCTCTATCCACAACAAGCATGTGCGCCCTTTTGGTTGCCGGGAGTATAGCTTTGCCTTTCTCGATACTAATGATGGACAGTGACTAGCAGTGTCTTCCTCATTTTGAAGTTTTTTTAATGCATGATAAAGTGATATTAGAACCCATGTTGAAAGCATTTAAAATAAAAATCTCTGCATTATACATTCAAGGTGAATCGATCATCAACTTCTGTTACTTCTTAATTTGCTTTTTGTTTTTTTTTCTGTTTCTTCTTTCCTTTTTTATGGAACCATTAGTCCTAATATTCTGTCTGCGGTTAGGAACCAGAGTTGCTATTGTATAAGCTACGGAGACAGTGAAATTTCTACTGATAAAAAGTGTAAGACCATAAGATATGAGAAAGAAATAGCAAGAATATGAGGTAGCGATTATCAAAATGGATGAGCTAAACGTTGATACATTATTATTTATTTCTGGATATGTACAACACTAATGGATATTTTCAAGGATTGACTGGAAACACAAAATTTAATATATAAAAGGAGACGATTGAATATACCTTGGATACTAAACATCCGTTAATTACTGTGAAGGCCTACTGACTAGATACCCTCATTAATTTTTCGAGAGAACAGTACTAACTGCAGTGGTAAGTGGTAGGACAAGTGAACGTACAGTTATTAACGGAAGTTATTTTAAATGTCTGCTTTCAACAAGCATGAAGGCCAGCTATCTGTCAACATAGATGAACCTAAAACCACTTTATTGCTGTTGTATAGCAGTAGATTCTGTACTGAGACTGAGTTCGCATATTCTCCTTACATGTTTTTGAATTTAAGGAAACTCTATTTAGATTCAGCGTCGTATTTCAATCATATCAGACTCGGAGAAACAAACACTTACCAGCCCAATTCGAATGATGCTGATGATTTACAAACCCTAATATTAGCATTGATATAGCAGTTGTTGGTTATTATTTCCAGTTCGTAACTTTCTACATTTCAAAGCCCGGTCTTCACTTTATAAAAATTATCTTGACATGTATAGAAATGCCACCTTCATCTTTCAGAAAGAGAGGTACAATAGACAGTTTCCAGCTGATTAAATCAATATAGAAACTCTCACACATGGGCATCGGCCCAAGCTGCCACACTTCACAGTAATATACAAAGAACATGTGAGTAGGAAACGAGTAATACTAAGGCAGCTAAAGTAGTGTGAGAAAATAAACAACCTTAAAATAAACTTTAGTTTGCATATTAAGGCATTAGATGTCAAGGAGTGAATAGATCTACGCCACTGCCACCGATTTTCAGCCAGTTTACCAAGAGTCTTCAACCACTAATTGTGTTCGTCTCGAGGAACCCAGCCAAGAAATTTTCATCTCCTCACCCGACTCAGACCAAAAGTTACAGGCCTCGTCAGCCGATCCCACATCTTGGTCTGACCACTGTGAACCGTCCTCCATCATAATCCAACTTCCCCTAAAATGACACTTTGAGGTAGGTGATGGACTGGTATGATCAACACATGTCAAAGCCATCTCAGTCAGCTGAAGATCACAACCTCATCAGTCGACTTGCATTTCATACCTGTAATCCTTCGCCTTACTCCAGAATCGCTAACATAGTGAATCCAACACAAGCAAACAGTGCTACAAAAATACCTGTGGTTAAAACCTTCCTACTGCTCCATGTCATCTACTTCAAACGTCCATGTCTCGCAGCCTAACAACAAAAGAGAACAGACTCCAGAGCAATATACTCGTCCTTTGATAGATAGCTGGATATCTCATCAGTTGACTCCACAGGTGACACAAGTCTGGAAATGTCCAACAGGTAACCAGCCCATTTGGCGGGTTGATGCAAGCTTCCAAGTGAGTGAAGTGGTTAACACATTCCTCTACTTCACTCCTTATCATTAGATCAGGATTACTTACAACTGACAAATCCTGTACCATCATCTGACATTTGACAGGTGCTAGCGGAACGCATGCCAAATATACAGTTTCCCAGTCAAAGCCTCCGGAAGACCCTGCATTGCGTCAGCGTCTTCACACAAGCATACTCCAAGTCAACCAGATGACCTTCAGGCAGTAAATCAACCCCTCTCAAATCAGATATACCAAAGGTTATTCCTGTTATTACATTGGTGACGAAGCTGAAAGGGAAAATTGACAATGAGCTTCGCTGGCCAAAACCACTTGTTGTCGTCGATTTACATGACAACTTCCCATAAGCCCTTACATAGGTGTGTAAGTTCTAGTAAATTGCTTTGATAAGCATTATATACTTGCTCGACACTACCTTCACGGTTCGACACCGGCAAAAACCTCACGGTCGATAGAGTAGAATGCTGCTTTCAGGCCAAGAAATATGATAATCATCGGCCACTCGTAATTATATCTGCGATCCAGAACCTGTCCGGGGGCGGAAACATGATCGATGCGATTGCCACCAGGTCTGAAGCCTGCCTGATTTTCTCAAGTTTGTTGTTCTCCAGCTCCACTTAGGCATTGGATAACTATACACGGTAGGGTCTTGGACATAATATTAATCAAACTAGCTGTCCTATGGATGTGACAATAAGATTTCCCCCACTTTTACAGACTGACGTGATCAGGGAAGTAGACCAGTCCTACAGGACTACCTCTGATTCCAATACACTACCTAGTACATCCGTCACTCTAATCACTAATTACCTACCTCCATCCTTAAAAACCCCGGGTGGCAAACAGTTAAGTCCTGCCACTTCCTATCGCTTCAGGTTCGACATAGCCTTCCCATCTTGAGCGAGAGTTGGAGGACCGATATCTACATTCCATCTAACTTCAGGCCCCATTCTAGGCCTCTAAAGCGTTGCTGAGAGTCATTTAAATTGTGCTTCAAAATGTTCTGTCCATAGCCCTAGCCGCCTGTCCGGACAAGTTATCAGTATCCTATCTTTTTCGGTAACTAGTAAAATAACCATCGTCTTCTTCTTACCGGCATCCTCAATGATCCTAAATAGTTGCTGAGTGTTACCGCTTCTTATGCCTTTTCCACTTCTTTAACTTTTGCCACCCACCACTGCTTGCGATCGATGCAAAGACTCCTGATCAACTTATGTTTCATTTGCTTATGCTCTTCTTTGTCATCGGAACCGGCTGGAATGAGTCTCCTAACATCAGTCAGTTCGGATGATGTCGTGTGAATTCAATGACATTTGCTAATCTTCGGTTGCAGGTTACTAAATGTCTTTACCGCTGTTTCTACAGCAGAGTGAATATCACGCTAGGTTTCTTCGGGATAAGCATGGACATCACGTTCAGATAAGTGCTTAGATAACTCCTCTCGTAATACATACTTGACGTCTTGATCTACTAACTGAGTTCAGATAGGCCTCACTGTTTTATGTTTCCTGCAACCAGTAAGGCGCAGACAGACACTAGTACAGACAGTTTCATCAAAAGTAGATTATCTTTCTATAATATTTTACTTAACTACACGTTAATTCGGTAACCGTTGAGCGCTTCCAAATACTTTCCTTGTTTAGAACTTCACATAACTTATAAATACACATATATACTTGGTTTTATTGTGTTCGGAGAAAACAGAATACTACCATAACCATCCATCTTATCTACAAGTAGTCTCTACCATCTCATAAACCCATATGTGCGTCAAAGGTTTCAGACAAAGTCCTAATGTATATTGGACAATCCTAAGAGAACAATATTCACTAATTAAAGACGTAAGAGACAGGAAGAATTACGTCTTGTCATTCAGAGCAGTCAAAGCATAATTTATACCTGGATCACAAGTTCATCTTCTGACTTGTGGGTCTCATGATGATAATAGTATCATTCATATCGAAATGCAGTAAAGTTGAAAAAAGAAAAACTTGGTATTTAACTGAAATACTGAAACATATAATGTTGAAAAACAATAATTTTACATTGATTTAGTGTCATTTAAACAAGTAGAACATGTTCGATATAAGAATATGATACATAAGAGTTTGTAAGCAATTGGAAATTTGGAAAGTGATAGCTAAATTTACTCCAGGCATCTATCACTTAAATGTTTGTAACAACAAAGAATTCATTAGAAACTGTCGGCACTTTGTTCAAATCTGTGAAACTTTCTAACTAATTTATAGCTGACATGGTTTTCAACAACTGGTGTGTTTCATAACCGAACAGACAATTCAGGACTTCTAGGATCAAACGGTGATCGGCTGGAGTATTCATCTTTATGATGAGGGAACCATATCAGTTTACTTTTCAATGAATTGACACCATCTTCGCTGTAATCTGTCAACTCAGAGATTGATTTGCTATTTATTTCGCTTTGATATGGGGTTTCTCTTGGAGTATTGTAGCATTCATGTGTTTGAGTAAGGTATTCAGTCTGTGAAGTACTTTCCTAGAAACAGTTGATAAATATACAAGGAAAAATGAACTAGCAGTTATACTTCTTTAATATTAAATGAATTATATTCCTTAGGTAACACCATGCAGAAACGTTATTAAGTAATTTCTTTTCTGACTTATGAAAAAGATCATCGAACTTGTTGACCTTCAACACAAGTGAACCGTAGTATTAGGATTATCTCGTAATTCCAACCTGACCATCCATTAACTATTCACTTTGGATGTGATGAAATCCTTGTTGCATACTAAACGAAATAAAATCAGTATTGTTTGCCGATTGGTAAATGTTTACAGTTCGCTGTTCGGAGCTTTCAGACCTTGATTTCATCCTTTGTGGTATCCATCTGCAGGCTGTAGCCTTAGCCTTGTAGAAACTCAAATTTCTTTCAGGATTAGATACTAAATCACCATGGAAGAACTTAAATATGACCAAATTAAGTGAATCAAAGCTAGTACATATCTCATATCTCATTAGTCGTTTAAAAAAAGTTAAATAATTTGTCGAAAGCTTCACCTGGTCGAAACTTGTCGTGCCCACACCAGTTGATTATCACAGTTTAATGGTTTAGTCGTTAACGATCGAGCATTAAAAGTGGTTGACGATCTTTGTCAAGTCTCACTCAGAAAGCATATTAATGTACATATTCTTGCAAGACTTATTCCCTTTACTAAAATCAAACAAACGTCAGTAGTCTGCTGATAGAACCATAACAAAAACCTATAATATTTTATCTAACACATAATAACTCTAAGCTTCTACTTCTTCCTCTTATTGTGCATGAAGTGTGCACTGCTAAGGTTACTTATTCTTTCATGAAATATCCGTAGTCAGTAACTTTCAGTCGGCTAGAAAACTGATATAACTTGGACTTCTGATATCTTTTTGAAAGTTTAATATGATAGAACTCATATTTCACCCATGATAGTCTTTAAAATTCCTCAAAAATAGAAGTAGTAAGACAATAGGAGGTTAGTTGTCAAGTGATCTGTGTATAAAATCCTAACTTTTGCGTATTTGTACAAGTAGCTTTGACTTTCCAATACTTTCAGAAAGTTGTTGTCAATCATTTTTGATGAATTATATAACCAGACGACCAAACGTTTATTAATGCGGTTCTGTCAAACATTTCCAACGGTCTAGTTGGCTCTGTATACTCTCTTGTATTTCAAGCTAAGTGAGGGTTTTTGATTACGATAGTGAATACCATAGTATGAAAGGTTGAAGCTATGATTATAGACAAAGTTCAGTATTGAAATATGCCATATGTATCGTCTTTAAATCAGAAATTTAAGATAGTGAGTTCTATTGAAAACCTTATTGGTCAGATGTCTATTTTGAGAAAAATTTAATGACAACTGTGATGATTTGTAATGATTTGAATGAACAGTTAAAACATGAACTGATAAGTTATGTTTGCCTGCCTGAATTCGCTTCCAACCAGATAAGTGTATCCTTAAGATGACTGGATGCGTCAACCGAATGTCAATGGTTACCTTGTACATATGATACTGATTAACCTTGTTCTCAGTATTCGTATTTTTATGCATAACATGGGATTGTCTCATTTCAGACCTCTATCTGAGTTCAAGATACTATGTCAATACAAAACTATACGTTTTCTTCTTCTTGAGTGAACCTGGTTTACAAGCTCTATTTAGTATTATGGAGACATTAATCTATAAGTTGATTCCAAAAATGTAAAACAGATCAAATTTTACCCTTTTTCAATAGAACATGTTACAGTTTGTTATGTCTCATTCTTAAATCTTATGACTAACTTCGTCGACTAGTATTACGCAGTTTGATGTTACTGAAACAATACAGAATATTTGGAGCTCAGGTCGGCGGTCTACATTATGTTGTCTACATTACGTTATGAGCCACACTATTCAGTTTCTCATTTCTTGTCTGGACAATTGCATTTACACCAAATCCAATATGATCTGAGCTATTAGGATTTTTCCGTGATGGATTCGTAGTCCTGTTCTAACAGAGTGGTTTGTGGTTGGCGGTTTTCTACGCTTGTTGTATGATTGACTGCATACATTTTCTTGCTCACTGGCTCCCTATCTGATCTTCAAACTTGTAGTTCTTTGATTTTGCTTGTATTTTCCCGTCATTGGTTGGACCGAAATGACCAGTCTCCATTGATATATGGGCATCTATGCAGATTTTTCGATAGTCCCTGTATTTTTCATTTTGATATTATTGATGGATAGTGCCTAACAGTCGAATCCACGACTCACGTTTCGTTCTGTTTAGGACTCATCAGCTCAGTGTGCCTGTCTGGCAGTAAGCGATGTTGTTTCCACTTGGACTCGAACTCAGAACCGGTTGTTCCAAACGCCAGAGCATTCTTCACTAAGCCACTCGGCAACCTGTTTTCTGACTGAAATGATTACGATAATTTATTCATTATTTTGAACCTAAACGAAATTATGAATATAACAATGAAGTTTCAGGATACTGTATAATGAAACAACATACTTATTGTTTCATTCGAAGTTAGCTTATACAAATTTCCTTTATACTTCTTGTTTTATTCGTGTTATAGTGTGCTTTATACATTGACCTACTACTTATTCTGTCATCTGATGTAGTAGTCACATCACATTATTGCATACCTAACATTTGTTTAATCTAGACTATTCTTATATTTAACACTGTACTATAAACAGTATTACTAAAATATTACATGAAAACTCTGTTTCTAACCCTATTGGTTTTCATATCTTCAATGAGGGTCGTTCGATTTGTGAAAAGTACTATTCTTGCTGATCCCTGTCACTTGTTATTTACCTTTAGTGACTGCGTGTATTTAAGACTAGTAGTGTGGTGGTCGCGGAGTGTAGAATACCTTAAACAAAATATAAAACAAATCAAAACTTGTACTCAGTTTGATTTATGACAGTACAGCGAAACAATAATGAAACACCTTTAACTCACAGGTCTATCAATATGAACGTTATTATGTTTTTTAGAGCATTTATTATTTTCATTATGGTTATTATTTCCTGACTGAAAAATTGATATGGGCTGGATCTTTCCGTTAACGCCATTTTTCGATCGTAAAGAAGAACTTAAGCGTTCTGGATTATTTGCAGTATTAGCTAAACCGAAATTCGCGTGATATTGAGCTGCTGTTATACGGATATGTGGAATTTCACCCGTTAAAGCAGCCTGACGAGCGGCTTGAAGTTGATTTTGTGCTACATCAAGAATGTTCATCCGATTCCCATTAGCATCTTTGAAATAGTGAGGACGAAGTAAATCTTTACCATCAACTTCCAAAATTATGTGACCTGGTGCAAGGCTACCTTCAAAACTTGCAGGTGAATCGGGTTCAATGCTTTCAATGGTCACCACATCAAATCCCATATCTGATCGTTTAATATCTACCGGCTGGAAAGCACCACCTTTACGTGACCGAATTCGTGCTTTTGGACCTTTTGGATTACTAAGTGATTGAATACTATTGATGCTATCGTTCGACATTCCTTTCTCGTAAATCTCATTATTTTTCAATTTCTGAAGAGTGTCAGCTCTTTGTACATCATCCAATGGGAATTTGGTTAAGCACAAATTTAAACCAAGTTGATCGCTCAAACTTGGAAGATTTGGATCCAGTAACACACGGTAAATATCACAGTGATGTAGAACATCAAAAAGCGAAGGGTATGATTCAAAATATTCCATGTCGTGTACTGTCGCCTGAGTTTTTTTACATCCATGTACTGGAATACTTACTCCATTGTGATGCTTTGTATTTGATGGCTTGTTTGTTGGTTTCAAATTCGCTAGGTTGTTATTTCCTTTTACTTCTACAGTTTTGTCATGTACAGCAACAGAAACATCTGAAGAATACTTATTGTTTGTAGGCTTACGTTTGGCTTCAAGATTATAAGTGTACAGTTTATGTACCTGTGATGGTGAATGCTGTCGAGAGTAACTTGAGAATGAATCATCATGAAGAAAGTTATTTGGGGACATAATTAAGTGAGACCCATACTGTTGCAGTATACTTGATTGCATTAACAGGTTAGTGGCTAAAGTAAGCATATTTTCTTTTGAAATACTGGATATGTTTACATCTGAATCATGAAATGAGGTAGGGACAGTTAGATGCGATGTTGTACTATGACTTCCATTGTTTGGGTTTTGAAAACCATTGGACATGATTCGATGCTTATCCAAGCTGAGATCTTCACCGCCTTTACTTGAAGTAAACGCTTCTAAAACAGAAAATAATATGAAAGTTTCCAGCAAAAATATATGTCTGTGTAAACGTTTGGTGTTTTCAAGTGAAACATATTCTAAATTTTTCTGCAGGAAAACAAAGCTGATACTTGCGCTGGATAGAACAATGAAGCTAAGTGTATCCGTGTTTCCAGACGTAATACATTTACCGTGCATTGACACAAACTCTATTCTCAATAAACGATCTTCAACAATGTCTTATCCAGTATGGATTAAAAAGTACTCAAACTTCATAGTATATAGCATTTCAGAAGTGCTAGTAACATTTAATTTGATGTTACATGCACGAATTTATTAGTAAGATAACTGGAGAAAGTATACCTAATATCACATTTTTTTCACTACATTTTGGAGACTGAACAACAGAACACAAGGGATCTGGAAAACCAACTCAATGTATACCTCTTAAAAGAAAAAGGAAGCGGCGCCACTTGAGACTTTATTCTAGATTAGTCATCTCAATAACTGAAGCTAAGTTTACAGGACTTTATAGAACCTTTGGTTTCTGAAGTCCTGCAGGAAGCCCTCACTGGCAGTGATAAATTTGGACGATTCTTTGGTCCAATCAGGAAAAACTTGCTTTAACTCGAGTAAACCTGTAAAAGATCGGATTTTCAATGACTGGTCGTGAATATTTCCAAACAATTTTCGGCTTCTTTACCCTTCTGAAAAGTATCATTGGTACATTTTATCACAAACTAAGCTAAGAAATTTACATATTTCATTTGACACTACTTGTGGCCACTTTATCACACTAATATGATAACCTGTTCTGTTATCTGTTAGATGTGATGCTAATATTCTACGGCTTGGTATATGTTTTCAATTTTAAGATAAAGTATCTTAACATTACTAAAACAAAAATTAGTGATCCTGCATGACATATCTGTAATTTGGCAGACTGGCGTCCTCGATATTGCATGTTGATTGAAGCTGAAATGTTAACTTTATATCCTCCAAGATTTGAGCCAGCGACATCGGGACATAAAGTTAGAAGCATCAAGAAAACAATCGATACTCGTCGCACAAGATACTCCTATCATGCCACTGTGTCCTAGTGGACAATGCTCTGGCATTTAGAGCGACGAGTTCTGGGTTCGAATCTCAGTGAGAACAATATCACTCTTTGAGGTGCAGGTACGCCCAACTGACTAGTCTAAAATAGGACAAGACACACATTTTAAATTCCAATTCTAGTCATAAAGATGAGTATAACAGTGACATTTCAGTTACCGGGAGGGCACTGTATAAACTTACCTATAAGACCTAACTTATAATTAAATCTGAAATTCACTTCAGTCACAATAGATGGTAATGTATATATGTGTATAAATATAGATATTTTGGTTAAGGATGAACTGTGGTATTTTGTTTTGGACACTTCATCACCCGGCTTGGTGATGGTGTCAGCCCAAACTAAACAAAACAGTCAAACAGGCTTTCATTATTGCAGCTTCACCGTCTGTGAACAGTGACACTAACTCACCAAGGTTTTTCACTTCTTCCAGTTGTACTGATTTGAATGAAACGTTTTCAGTGTTTGTCGCTAACGTCAAATTGATTGGTGAATTCGCTTGACTTGGAGAAACATATGCCTTAAGCCCATTCAAATGACATTTCACAGGGAATAGATCGTTAAATGATTCATCCTAAATGTACAAATAAAGTGACGCATTTTGAGTTATTTTAATCAATATGAACTCTACTGCAATACAGTATAAGTGCAGAGAAATTGCTTGAAGTATTTTGGTGGATCAATAAACCTACGAATAACAAACTTTAACGTAGATCTGAAATTTAGACAACACCTCATAGAACATGAAGTACCAGGGTTTACTAGAATCTATGATTCAAACAACATTGTTATGCATTCTTCATTGTTCGAGAACATGTATACATAACTAAGCCTAATAATAACGCTGGACCAAGGACTAGACAAATGTTTTTAGTCTTTATAAGGCTGCAGTAGTAGTACTTTAAAAGCTTATTGTGCTTATGAGTCATTGTTCATTGAGTATGTCCTGAACCAATCTGAAGATAATAGAAACAAGAATATTCAATAACTATAAAAGGATGGGTGATGGGATTAAAGTAAAAATGTTGGTTAGCCTTATTTTGTAGGTTTTTCGGAATATCTGTGAGCACAAGCTGCTAATGAGCAAAACCGACCGCGTATTAAGCCGATATATATATATATATATATATATAATTGATGTTTTAGAAATTGTCATCGAACAACTATCAGTCTATCTCAACCTGTATTGTTCTCATGATTTCCTGCATGAATAGCAATGTTTGAGCCTTCATTTTAGTTTTTAGTAACATATTAAGGGTTGAGGTTTCTTTTAAATGTTTACTGAAGTAGAGTGAACAGTTATATATTCTTGACATCCTGCTTGACTCCCATCTGTTATTTTTACGTATAACCTCACAATCATTTTAAGGCTATCCATAAACAAAACGTATTTGTCAGATTTGTTTAAGAGAACCTTGGAGGCATGTTAAATTTGCCTTTGGAAGAATTCGTAGGTTTGATTGTCAACGTAATCGCAGTTTTGGTCAAAATCCTTCATACAACTTCCTTAATTTTTTTGTTTACAATAGAAAAATTGTGATGGTACCCCAAAAAATAACTATTTATGTATATTCACTGTCTCATAATCCAACTGTGAGTCATAAAGGAATGATAATTTCAAATTTCTACATGGCAAGGAAAGTGGTATAAATTGAATAATAAATCTTTCTTAACCTCAACAATATCTAGCATATGCAAAGAAAATGGCCCACCGTTTCCAGCAAATAAATTTGAAAAACTCTACATTCGCTTAAAAAAATAAGTTGTTGAGCAAACAGGAAGTTCTTAAGGATATGATTATCTTATAATGATTAGGTATCGAGGTGGATAATACTGTACTTTAGGGATTATGCTCTTTTGTGGTTGCAGAATTTTTCTCCAAGTGTATAGAAGCTTCTCTACAAACGTACTAGTGATTTTTTAACTGAAAACCTAAAAACCCTAAAAAAAGTGAATAATACGTCTTTCGGCAGATTACTAGAGAAGTATGTCATATGAACACTGTTAGAAAATAAACTGTGTCCCAAAAAACAAATCCTCTTCTGATAACATCCCACTCGAGTTTTTTTAAAGTTATTGCTCTAAAAAATGCTCTTATGAACAGTGAAAGGTTTATTCACCGAAAAGAACAGCCTGTTGCTAAATCTGATTTTTAGCGGCTTTTCATGCTACTACTTCAGTTAAACACTGATTTGTATTCATAAACGTTGATTGAAGACATCAATTATATGTCACAGTTACCAAGTATAAACGGTGTTTCCGATTCAACGCTACTTATCTTCATGAAGAATTTCGATTGATTTGTTTTTTTATCAGTACGTAGGAAGTGTTTACAGATTATCTGTTGTTTCATTGTGTTAAGTCGCCTGAAACTGACGTATTCAGTTATCCATACATCCATGCAAAAAGGGACCAATATCTTGTAAACTATCTACATAGCATACACAACCTATTTGACTGCACTGAATCTGTTATACACAACTGCTGAGTGAAAATGCAATGGATTAGCTATCTATATTTAAATATTGCTGACATCCATACTGAAACATGTGAAGACGAAACGGTGATCTCATGAGATTTCAAAACCCTCTTTCATCAATAGATCACAACCTGGTATGGGAAAGTATTCTGCGTAGGCTTCAAAATGATGATGATTTACAAGTTCATATGAGTAGTGAAGTACCGGATTTATTAGACCAAATAGACTTTTGCTTATCCAACAGTGATTTATGTGGACAAATAGAAGGAGCTCCAATGGAAACACTAATCTCAAAAATCACTTAAGTAGCAGCAATACAAATACTGCAGCTAAAAATCCTACCAAGTATCAAGCCAAAATATCTGGGATACGACAGCCATATTCCTGAATCAACTTGGAATCATTGTATCAAATGTACCAAAAACAGTGCTATAACATATGCAAACTAAAAGATCTAGACAACAAAGACGAAACAACCAATCTTCTCGATGGATTTAAGTGCAAAAATTACTGACACCACTATGTGACACAATAAACAAACCAGCATTACAATGCCTGCATGTACGCTAGATAGCTTTCAGACGTCACGATGTGAATTCTCTCATTCTAACACACAATGGCAACTGCGACGACTGGGGCAAATACAAGATACTTGGGTGTGAAAACTGGAAAGCAATTTGAGAATCTTTAGAAAGCTACACTCAAGCAAACCTGAAATAAATCGTCACATTGGCCTAGACATCAGGTACCAGCCTGTACGAAACAAATCGGTGATAAGAATCAACTAATCCAAATACCTGGAAACTCTCGAGTACCTCATGAACAACTTACTAGACTGCTGTACTTAACCTACTAGTAAACGCTAATCAACCAGCGGTGACAAAAACACCCCTACCGTTGGAGTATATCAACTATTCAGCGTAAAACACCCCCGATCGGTACAGATCAGTCAACTATTTACTTCAGCAAGACCTTCACCACTTCAGTCAGACAAAAATGGTTGGCTGGTCACAACGAAGCGATCTTGAAGTACCGCATTTAAACCAAAACGTCGGCAATTTAAGAGTTGCACTGATCTCCAAAAAAACTAGAGGCAACGACCCAGTCAGTCTAGTTCAGAATACCCCCCACACACCCACCAAGCCAACAATCAGGTCGCATTCAAGCAGAGTAGCATGTCATAAATATCCATGCATTATCACTTGTTTTACTCCTCTGGAAAGATCTGATATATTGCTGACGATTTCTAGTGTAATGCTGGAACGTTAGCAAGCGAAAAAGGCTTAGAGATCAATTCACGTTAAAACTGTCGTTAATCAAGATGAAAGCAACTGATATACAGACGAACTTTTAAGTATGGTTTAAACTCATATCAATCAGTTGTTGATGATACGGTGTTTCGGCCAAACCGTTTATGGGTAAAATAAATTGTCATCAAAGATCTGAGTGCGAAGAATATAAAACAATTAAAACAACTGTGTAGCCAATGAAAAATATCAGTTTTACAACAAGTTACGTCAGAAATCCATTCAGACCATATAGTTATCTGCTTACATACACAAAAAAGGAATTTCTGTCTATAAAATGCCTTCATAGCTCTCGATAAAAGTTGTTCAATTCAGTAATACTTACGTAATCACCATTTACTCCCTGATAATTGGCAGAATTTGGATTGATATGTTGTTCTTTTTCACTTTCTTCTGACCTGTCCCCTCTTTGAATCTTCCTTTCTTGATATTGCTGCCCTGCAATTACCTGTTGTGCATTTAAAACAAGTGGAGGCTTGTGTGGGGATGAGATGGGGCTTTTTGTTCCATTAAAGCATTTCTGCTTTGAGTATATATCACGCATGAGAGATATGGGACTAGAATCTCTTTGACCAGCAGTATCAGCAGGCACATCATATTCTGCAGCTGAAAGATTACACCCGTTGTCGTACGTTGTATGTACATTTGCTGTATCTGCCGCTTTATGGTGGTTGATCTTCATGTTCTCCAAATGAACTGGAACAGGAGTTTTTGACGAATCAGTAGAGTGAGCCCTTTCAGAATGATCTTCAGGATTACATTCAGTGGATTGGCTTATACTTGCAAAATCTGTAAAGTACTCATCTTTCTTCCAGACACTGAAGTTACCTATGTTTTCTTGAAATCTGACGGCACCTTGTCTGTTTTCACAAACACGATTTGCGTCAAAAGCTAAAATAGGTGATGCACTTTTTTCTGGTTTGCAGTTCTTATGACTTTCAGTAGCCACAGCGTTTTGACGAGATGGTCTTGGTTGTTCGACTGTTCGTTTCTGATCTAGATAAGATGAACAACTACCAAAGTTCTGATCTTTCATTACATTCGCGTATCTTGCTCCAGAATTTACTGATTTAGGTGGTAAGGGTGGAGTATTGGGTGCGAATTTAAGACCATGGTTTGACAAAAGTCCTTCAGATGGCCCTAATGACCACTGTGAAGAAACTTGGTCACTATTCACCACATGACGATTCACAGAGAACCTTTGATTAGCCGGTGATGCTTGATTATCACACTTCAAATCATCGGAAGCATTTTCATTATTTGGTGAATCAAAAATTACGAATTTGTCACGACTACCCACATTTTTCATATACCTCATAATAGATGTCTTTTCTTTAGGTGAATGTTGAGGCACTGAGAAATAATCATTCCCATTGTGATGGATTGTTTCTGGTTCAGATTCGATAAAATAACTTTTATCAACTGATGGTAATAATCCAGAACCAAAACTTTCAAGCGTACGACTTCTCGATAGTCCTTTGAAAATACATGGAAATGGATTCAACCGTTGTGTTAGTGTTTGTTTCACTGGTGAAGGTGTACGTGAACTCTTAAATGCAAAGGAAAACAAAGTGTTTATTATCAAGTTTCTTATCTAAATAGTTCGGATTTCAGAATATTGAAGTAAAACATGGCAGTAAAAGGATAACCATTTAAGTCATTGTCTGGAATACTTTGAAAGTGCTAGAATTAAAGTGAGTCACTTGAAATTCTGCTGATTACTTTGGCTGTATAGAATCTTCAAAGAGTTGAACATGAACTCAAACCCAGCACCAGTCATAGCATCTCGATGTACCTCATTTGACGCTTGGAACACTTCAGAATCCGACACAAGCAAACAAGTGTTCAGAAGATTCTTGAGTACCTGAAATGCAGTAGGCATTTATGTCCTGTTAGTCTGCGGCTTCGAAAATTCAGAACAGTCCAAAACTAGAACTAATTTGTTATCAGTCGCTGTCCTCTGCGCAACAGTTTTATAACTGGAGTTAAGCTCTGATGAAGGCTAATATAAAGCCGCTTGTGCCTTGGTATGCTTGATTCTGGTCACGCGCGAATAATCTTAGACTAGCGTGCTAATAGTTTTTAAAAAAATACTAATAATGGGAAGATAGTGAAACAAAAACTTGAAACCTCGACAGACTTATGACATAGAGAGGGTATTTCGGAGACATTGTATAGGATTATCAATAAGGCTTGTAATAAGGAGGTAGTGCAACCTACAAACTCATTCAAATACAGTCTCTGTAAGTAAAAAAAAATCCAACTCAGTTAATAAGGAGAAGAAATTAAGTTTATGGGAGTAAAACTTGCAGAATGTGGTCGATTGTCCATAAATCGTGTCCTAAACGTTGTCGAATAAATAATAATGTTTCACTGTGCGACATTCCTAATAAACAGACTAAAACGAAATTAAGTTTACTAAATCTTACTATTATAATTGTTCACGTTTGATTACTTTTTCCTTATTCACTGTATCTCTTGTAATGAAACATGTATCTGAAATTTAATACGTTACTTGCGATTAATTTAAATTCTAAGGTGGAAAATACACTAGACCGAAATTTTTAATCACTCATTTGAATTACAATGCTGCCTCACTAACGATTATGCATTTCTTCGAATATTTCATAGAATGATTGTTCTAATGCATGAAAAGTCATTTATTTTGAAATAGTGGAGAATATTTGTAGCTAAGGTGGATGGTCTTGGTTTTATTGTGTTCTCTGAGCTGGGTTGAAAGCTTCACGAGTAAACAACCCAGCTCAGAGAACACAATACAACCAGGTGAGTAATTGCATATCACAACATCTGTCTTGTTTATACACCAAATGACTATCGGATGGTAATCATTGAAGTAGTCAGGTTTAACAATGATCAAATTCTATTAGTTAGGATTACAATTTAACTACTACACTTAGCAACACCACACTGCTGTTCACTGAATTTTGATAATTAATGTAACGTAACAGTCGGTAAGAAGCTGGAGTTTTTCTTCTTTCATCAGTACCATTATTCAATACACAAGAAAGTAATTACGATATTAATTTCAAGAAAAACTTGCTTCCCCATCATTGTGATCATGAAGAGGGTGTAAGATATTTTATAGACATTACTAAGTAGTTTATGAAGCTTTCTGAAACAGAATGTTATTATTCATGCTTTTACAAAACACCTGCCGCAGAACAAGGCTATTCATGATCTTCTTCAAACAGCCGTGGAACTTTCAAAAAACATACGGTGTTGATGTTAGTAGTAGACGCAAACCTTGAACCAAACTATTCCTCATCAATTGTAAAAAGGCATAAAAATTTCCTTCTAGTGATATCTTCTCCCTATCTTACTATATCTTACCTCTGTTATTTAAATTTTACTTTGCTTATCTTGTTTTTTTGGACTGACCAAGTTTTTTCACATTTATAACACCATACCCTTTTTAACACTTGACTTTCCCATGCATTTTTTGCCTTTCAGTTTGTCATTTTGTTTTTGCGTACATTACCATTATCCGACTGGTATCAATTGGCATTTGCTGGAAATACTGTCGTAAAGCTTTTAAAAATAAGATAATTAGAAAAATCTCTTCTTTGATGCTTAGTTTTTGTTTTGTAAAGCCACATTCGTTGGAAATATTTTAGGCAGTGCTTTGTCAATAACTTCTACATCAACGATATGACATATCAAGATCTGATTACCAATTATTCCCTAATTAATTCATATCAATTTTGTTCTCTAAATTCGAGGATTCCCGTTTTACTCTTTACCATCTTCACTGTTATATCTATGAATTTTCCAAAAAAATACAAATCAAGGTATGTAAATCTATCATATCATCTAATATAGCTCTTTTCTACTAAGGTTAACTGTGTTTTCTATGGTTTCTTGAATACAATTTTTTTTCTTCATTTCTCACCAAACCAGCCTCTTCAAAATTTGCTGTCACTTATTGTCAAGTAAAAAAGTGTCAAGGAATAAGCAAAATTATTGTGATGAAGAATAAAAAATATATTTCCAGCATTTAGTGAGTTCATTTTATTTTCCTATTTGTATTAAGTTGCAATACAGCTATATGAATGTTATGCATTGCTCGAATCGATAAATGCACTGCAAGATTTTCATATGTAGAAAGAAATTCAAAAGTTTAACTCAGCTATGAATAAAGAATCAGAACATTTGTGGGTCCCTTTAAATCTTCATGATGATGATTAACCGAAAGAAGTTATCACCTTAAAGCATTTTCAAACTGACCTGTGTGTGCAGGAAGAAACAGTAACTATCCTTTCTTCATTCTGCTCACCGTATGTAGTATAACTGCGTCACCCTAACAGTTTTATTTGGTTTATGTAATTCACTGATTGGTTACCACTGTTGGTTTGGCGTTTCCTAACTGTTCATGTCTTTAAGTAAGTCATCAGCGCTTATAAGCAACTTCATCTACACTCTTACATGCCACCTCCTCATTTGATAACTCTGCCTGATCGTATATGAATTATTATTGGCTTTAGGTAGAATTTGTTGTGTTTGTTTACCATATTTCCTTGAGTCAGTGACCAATTTTAGTCCTAGACTTCGGTTTTCCTCGATTTCCATATACGGAAACTATCTAACGTAATTAACACTTTTAAAGCTGTATTACAATTTAAATGAAACCATGCAATAAAATGAGGTCATTTCAATTACAAACATCTATTTTCGCACCAAGTTTTATTAAAAGAAACCACTGTATAAAATAAGTGATCACTAAAATAAATTAGAAAATAAAGTTTGGAGAGAACCATACCATAATGATCAAATTCCTGGCTACAGTAGAAATAACCGAACAACACACAAAACCAGTTACATAGTGCACACTGTTCGAAAGAGTGAATGCACATTCAATAAATCAATTTATTTAGGAAAGAATAAATCTACTTAATATTTATCCTGCTGAAGAATAATTATCCATGTCCCCCTATCAAGAAGTGTTTGCCAAGTAAGTCTTCAACCAAAAAGTCACCTTTACAAACAAAGAAACAGGTTGTTTTACCTTAGATGAATAATGCTTTGACATTGTAACTAGATTACTGAGCCCATTCATAACCCCTGTAGCTTTAAAGCCTACAAAACCTTTTCACTTCATGTTATGCAGGTCGGAGGATATAGCAGCAAAAGAAGACAAACCCAACATCATCTACAAAATAAACCGTAAAACTGCGAAAAGCACTATATTGGACGCAATGGTTGCTCTCTTCCACCAGAAACCGGTCGAACAGTGGGTGTTCATTCTCCGAATTGTAGAACTAGTCTCGGGTTCGGTAAAAGTTTTCGAAAAAGGACTAAACTTCAGTGTGGCAGTAGCTCAACCTAAATCTGAAGATGTTATGGCCGGCATAGGAGTAGCATTGAGCTCAGTATATAAAACAGTTGCTGATCAGGTACATGAACAATGTATACTGACGTTAAGACACCAAACGAAAGAGAGGAAGAACGTAACGAGACGAGAAATATTGGTGCGTAGAAAGTTGCAAGATGACAATTGTATATTAATTAGACAACGTCAATGAACATATCAAAACAGGACCATACGAGGAAATTAAAACCCATAGACACAGTAATGAATAAGATTAAAATGTCCACAGCTGATCTAATATGCCTTATGAAGACAATTCTGGGTGGGTCTCGGTGGTTTAATTTAATGCCTAAAACTAATAATCCTAGTACAATGTAAGGTGTCACTAAGTTTCATAAAACAAATTATCTTATCAGGCCAACAGGTGACTTTATAAACACACCAATATATGATTGATCCAAATATTTAGCTACAATACTATCTCCCATTGGAAATCTAGGTTCACCAATTCACTTGAATTGAAACAAAGAATAAATGATATAGAGTTACAGACTGGAGAAAAAGTGGTTAGTGTTGATTTGACTAACCTTTATACAAATATATAAATTAACCTAACACTTGTGGCAGTCTGAAATGAACTCACAAGTGACTATGAACTCAGCAACATAACTGAAGTTTCGATTGAGAAAATTATTTATGTTGGAGATACAGTTTTGTCTAACGTCCACGATTTCCAGCTTTCAGGGTGAAATTTGTAAACAAACAGGAGTAGCGACAGCACCTTGAATATCTCTAATCGTAGTAGACATATTCATGGACAGTTGACAGCCAATAGCATTAAGAATATTCCAACCCATATCAAAGGTATGGTGGGGATATGTAGATGACATATTAACTTTGTTGAGATCAAAGAAGATCCGGAGTTTTTCAAGCATATTAACTCAAAAGTAGATGGAATCCGAATCACTTATGAATTATAAAGCGAAAAAGGAGAACTATCGCTATTGGAGTGTAAAATCAAGAGGAGAGATGTAAGTTTAGATACTACTGTTTATGGGAAATCAACATCTTCGAATAGACACTTGGAATGCACATGATATCACTTCATATCTATCAAGGTAGTCCTCGTAAAATGCTTAAGTAATCAAGGTGGGATTTGGACGAGTAAATGATAAATCGTGAATATGGAAGTGAAACACATCAGAGAGACACTGCTTCCTAGTGACTACCTTCGGGATTTTATTAAAACTTTTGTGAGGACTAATAAGAGAAGGCGGCAATCTTAATGGGGACTGTAACATGTCTAAGAGAGAATTCAAATCCGTTGTAGTGTTTTCGTATCAGGAAGGCACATCATAGATTTTAATTAGAATTCCTGACAATACCGGGGTTAGGGTGGCATTTAAACCCACAAACTCGCTCAAAGATAAACTTTGTAGGCTAAAAAGTCAGTAAACTCAATAAGGAAAAATAACTTAATCTATCAAATACCCTGTACCAGTTTTAAGGTAAAGTACATAGGTTAAAGCAGCCGATAAGGGTCAGTCACAATAGCAGAATACAAAAGTTTAGCGAAACACAATGGTAGACCCTACTAAGATAAGTAATTTAAAGAAAATCTCGGCTATTGCTCTGCATGCACTCACCCATAATCACACTATAGCGTGGGATACGATGACAATTCTGGGTGAAGGGAAAGGTTGATAACGGAATCTTTGTTTATTGGATCAACACCTAACACACATAATAGGGATGACTCATCACTTACTGCAGATACACGGAAAATTTTCCTACCATTGAAATAAACGAACGAAGATCTGTTGGACTATGTAAAGGAAGTTTAAAAGTAGCATGAATACTTTGACATGAATATGAGAAACAAATTCTGCTCAAAATGTCACTCAGTAAATAATACCACATCACCGTGTAACATACCTAATAAACAATGTAATATGGAAAGAAAATGACAAGATTTTAGCAGAAATAACCAAACACACCCAAGGTAATCAGAGCAAGCTACTAAGCCATTTGTGAAGAAATTCTTGTATCTAACTTCTTATTGATGTTATCAAGCATAAAGCCACTAAAAATATCTCTGTTTACCTGTGAATTAAGTGCAGAGCTCACATAAACTATTAGCAGGTATTCTGAACGATATGCTGGATAAAATGCTGTGTAAGAATACAACATAGAGGCTTTCCGACTTGAAACTGAGAAAGTCCAAAGTGAACCAATATTTTAATATTTTGTTTATTCAAAGTACTATCATATTATTCATGATTAAAAGGATAAAGATACTAATAAAACAAAAATCTCG